AGCCACGGGCTCTTTGTCTTGCCGGTTTAGATAGGCAGAGATTGACACTCGTTGACTAACGTTCGCCGATCCCTAACGGCCACACTGTGGCTAGTAGTCCAGGCAGATAGCACTGCCGAAGATGGCTGGAGTGTTAGGCTTCTGAGAAGAAAGGCCGCCAGTTCCGGCCTCGGCCGGTGCACCACTCGGCGCTGGGTATGACTGGCTGATGACGGCTAATAATCCAGAAACGGCCGTTCCGGTCTCCCTTGTCTTTACCGGCAATTATATTTGCTTAGAATACTGTTCGCTACAGCTGCTGTCGGGCCCGAGATAAGAAAGTCAAGGCAGAGGGAATAAGGGAGTTCCGTAAGCGGTCGGTGCGGCCGTTGTCGGAGCTCGGACGTAAGCCCCAAAGCAAAACTAGATGAGATAGTCCCGTTTTCGAGCGGTGAACGTTAATCACGCGTCTCATTAAATTATTAGTTTGTGGGATACAAAGTAGTCCGGCCAGATACAAGACAACCGAACATATCCCAAAGAATATAAGCTAGTTGATAATATAAGGCGAGGAAGGCCAGAGTGTTAGGGATAATTTAAAAAGGTGTAGCAGGAGTAGAATGTAAGAAATAGGTAAATGACTCCCAGACGAGCGCACTCCAGCCTTAAGTGGGCTGGAGTCCAGAGTCGCATTCCGGTCGGTGTAGTCGCCGGGTCAGGAGGTCTGCAACAGGCAGAAGATCACCTGCTCCGGGAGTGTCTGACCGCAAACATTCCCCGCACCATGGTCCTTTGTGGACTGGCCTTGAGGAATGGTTGACCAGAGAGCCAGACAGAGTGTGACATGTGGCCTGTCCCCGCGGTGTCCGAGGAAAGCATGGCCAAGAAATACAAGGTCGCTACACGTTATTTAAGCTTTTAATGACCGTAAAACTTTCTGCTGTGTTAATGTGCCCAACCGCACTGTGTGTTACCTCTAGGCTGGCGTTATGCGTCCGCGGTATCGACAAGCACTTAAACTGCCCCGATGTCTGCCGTGCCCGTGGGCCGAAGTTCTGCAACAAGGCGGAACACTCTATTAAAATCTGCGGAACGATTACGCCGAAAGAGCTGAAGGAATATTCTCCGGCAAAGGAAAACAACACTAAAACGCTATCGGATGCATTCAAGAAGTGGCATGCAGCAATTCCAATGAGCGCTCGTTTTCCTCTCGAATTTTTTGAACAATTTGTTGGCAATAACGACTCCTTTAAAAATGCCTTCGAAGCTCAACTCCTGGCCGCGCAAGTACCCTTCTGTATCTGTAAAAAGTCCTTTAAGGTGAGGTATTGCTCTGTGGAGCCGTCTTTGCTGAAACTTTTACGTTTTTTATGCTTATCGATAGCGCTGGTGCTGCAGCTAATCACGAGCAAACCCTAATCGATAGAAAACGCGAGAGGGAGAAAATAGACATCGGGTAAAATTAAATTTTATCGCCAACCTTTTCGTTAAATTCCGCCTAACTAAATTCGAATGCCCTTCAATTGGCATTCGTAACCTGCGCAACAAAAGTTCATGTTGATCGAATTTTATTCTATTTTAGCATATTTAAATGAACACAATCTTTTTATGTGAGGTAGATCAGTGTACAAGCAAATAATAAAACATAATCTTATTTAATTTAATATTTTTTGCTCACTTCCGCCTTAATTACACATTAATTTAAACTCGCTAGCCAAGAATTAAATGCTTGACCACAAAATGGGTTAAGCAGTCTGGCGGGGGGTAGATATTTAACGGGGCCCCACGAATTAGTTTTGCCAAAACGCAGAGCTGATGAATGAAGAAAATAAAATGACTAATTACTTAAATAACCTAATGTTTAGCGTGCGATAATTTAAATGCGAAGCGTAGCCAATAGGAAACAAGAACTGTCTCAGGAGTACCCGCGAAATGGATACAATCATATACTCAGTCCATATCGAATTTTAGAAATTACATTAAAGCGACGAAAGAAGGCTTTTTTCCACATTTTTTTAAAAGCACAATGGATTATGTTGCATTTGAATAGATATTGTAAGCCAAAAAGCAGTCGCTTGTCGTCAAAAATAAAACTAAATAAAACTAACTAAGCTAAAATAAGCTAATTAAATCAAAATAAATTGAAAACTAAAATAAACTAAATAAAATCTAAGCTAAATGTAAACTAACTAAACTAAGATAAACTAAATTAAACTGAACTTAAACTAAAAAGCAAAACAGAAAACTAGCAGATAAAGTTAACTTGAACTAATCTAACAAAAACTTAACTTAACTAACCTAAAATACACAAAACTAATCAAACTAAAGACTGAACTAAAACTAAAATTAAACTGATAAACTAAATAATAAAATAACAACTAAATCAAAACGAAACTAAAAGTAAAAAGACTTAAAGTAGCCACATCACTTTGAAGATTTCTGTCAGCCGCCAAACGAGACAAGGTGAATCTCCTCCGGAAGCTTTCCAGAGCCAAAGTTCATTGAACGGAATTGAATGCCACCAGAAATACGGACCGAGGAGTGTTGCCCACGTAGTGGAGCATCGCGTACATAAAAGTGGTCTCTGAAACCGTGGCTAGATCCCTTACACCTCTCGGAAGAAGGGTTGAATAGAGGCCTGTTTGCACAATTTGTCAACACGTAATGCGGCCGAAAGACCCTATCCCGATGCAGAAGAAGTCAGGCGTCGTCTGCCGACTTTAGTGCAGCTGCAGGATGTGCAATTACGTGGGAGAAACGGGCCGGCAGCTAAAAATGCGAATGCATGAACATCAGCTAGCTGTAAGAAGTCTGGACCCCAAGTCCGAGGTAGCAACCCATGCTGCAGAGATGGGGCACGTCTTCAAGTTTGACGCCGTTGAAATTGTAGGCCGAGGTGATGGTCACATGTCAAGGCAGATTAGAGAGGCCTGGATGTCGATGCACCTGTCGGTAAACCGCCATATAATTTTGCCTCTGTAGGAGACTGCCCCCCAGCGCTGCCATGATCACTCAGTCTGCCTGCTCTGTCAACGTGGCCAATCAATCGATTTTTGGCGCATCGCTGATTACTGGTTCACACTGCACTCGCCTCGCCACTTGTTATGACCGATCTACTCAACGTGAATTGGCAGTCAAGTCAGTCAGTCAGTCAATCGATTTTGCGTATCGCTGATTACTGGTATACGCCGGATTTGTGGTCAGCGCTGGCAGAAACACACTTGACACTAAGCCCAGTCAGCAGGCAAGGCGTAACTCACTCGGCCTTCCGCTCCGGTGCGCGGCGGACGCGAGGCTGCGGCGCTCTCTCTCTCGCTCTTCACGGTCGAACTCCACCCCAGGCCGAGTCAACTCTTCTGTTAATTATTCTCCTACTTATTCAGTACTGAATACAATCTCCTTCTACCTTTACTTCAACGACTTTTATCTTCATCTAAGGAACCGGGCCTGGAAGATCGCAGTAGTTAGGGTTTAACTGGCTTAGCCTTAACCACTTTGCGATACCTCCACCTACACCGAGGATAGTCACCGCGTGGAGCAATCGAGGCCACCACCCAACTCTACGAGCAGCACTCATGTCCATGAAACAGATAACCGCGAGACGGCACCCACCTTAATACAGATGACAAACGGAATGGGGGACGAAATAAACACCGGCGCCCCAGGTACAGACATGATCAATGAGGACATCGAAGGCGAGACTCGAGACACACAGAACAGCTCGGTCGAGATTGGTCGAAAAGAGTGGCATTTAGCGAGAACCTCGAGCAAGAGAATTAACTCTCTGAAAATGGGTAGGCGAGACAATTACCCGAAACGTCGGATACAAAGTAAACCCTTCTTGGTGAACGCCCTTTCCTCTTCTGACTTACCACGTGGGAATCGAATTTTCGCTACTACTACATTTGTTTACATATGAGGAAAGGTTTATTTTGTATCTGACGTTTCGGGTAGTTGTTTCCTCTGCCAATCTTTAGAGGGTCAATATTCTGGCTCCTGATCCTCGTTATATGCAACCTTTCCCGGTGATAGTCCTTTCTCCTTCTGATCTACCACCTGGAAATCGAATTTTCACGATTTTTACTGTCAATCAACTAAACTAAGAAGTAAGCT